GAATAATTGCCCTATAAACAATATATGTGAAACCCTAACTCCGTGCACCTAACCTTTCTAGAACTCCAGAAACAGAACAATCAGAGGACGTACCAAACTTCAACCATTGACAAAAATGCAGGATCACATGCTCACTAGTCAGTACAAAATAGCAGGATCACATCCTCACTAGTCACTACCAACTTTTGATTTGAAGCAAATATCATTTTCTAAATCCCCAACCAGTCCAAATTAACTACAGTAAACCCTAAATTTTTTTTTTTTAATATCAGTGCTTATTTATTTATTTTCTTTAAAAGAGAGGAATTTTGCGAAAAAGGGAGTTCTACATACATGTGAAAATAGTAGTACAATCCATGTGAAACCTGAACTTCTTGTACTTAACAATTGATTTTGGCATGTACAATAGAGAACATGTATGAAAAAACTCACTTTGGTGTTATATAATCACAATTTATATTATTTTATGTAAATTAATATATATTATTTTATATTACATAATGAGAGACAATTTTTTTCCATTTTTCAACTCACCTTATACACAGGCTATACGATTTGAATTTAAGATCTTTTACCTTCAATGGAAGAAAGTTACTACTGTACCATTTGGGTAAATAGATCATGTACAAAAACATTTCTTCTTAGATGCTTTGAATTTTTTTAAAATCTACACTAATTATTCACTGCACATTTTATATATTAAAAAAATTGAATTCAAATTAAAAAAAAAAAAAAAGGAGTGGCCGCCTTAATGCGTGGGATCAAAAGCATGTTGGGCGTTGTAAATTTGTTTCCCCAAAAATGATGTTATTTTTGCCTCTTTAAGAGCCAAAAAATAAATTGGACTTGTTCTCCACAGACCGATAAACTCGATTTTAGAATTCACTCTAGCTAGTGGAAGTGAAGTTTTTTCTTTTTTGTTTTTTGAACAGTAAAAATAATATTTATTAATAAACAGAGTACAAAGAATACCTCAAACTCATAAACATCATAACTTGAAAGATATCATATTACATGAATGGAATAGTCCTTCCGTATGGTGTCGACCCCTGAATTATATGTCAACACCATGTCCGTGTCGGAGTGTTGGATGTTTACCGTATGGTGTTGACACCAAAATTATGTATCGACACTATACCCATGTCAGATTTCTGTCCCTTTTTGCAGCTTCTTCATATAAGCCCATCATTGTTAATCCCATCTTTCATATCATTCCTACATATCACACACATTGAAAGATTGAATAACACTTGGCTTTCTTGACATATTCATGCAGAAATAAAAATGAAAGTAAAGAACCAGATTAAGCACTATACAATTAAATGTTATTCATCACCACAAAGTGGAAGTAAAGTTCTATTCTTGCTTTCTTGATAAAAAACAAAAATCGAAGAAAACACTATTGTATATGCTCTTAGTAATGCAACTTCAATCCATTGAAAAGGAATTTAAACGACCCCATCTATGAGCAAATAAACATTCCAACATCATGTGATTTGAGCTTTCAAATTCCACATCACATGCAGAAACAACCAAAAATGCATTAGCATCCGTTAAAATTAATCTTTTAGCCAAATTCACCTTTGTAAGACTGTGGTGCTGAATGAGCTTCCAATTATGTTATTATACTCTAATATATACATTTATTTATTTAATGATATATCAAAATTGTACTAATAAGAATTTAGCCAAATTAGTACCCATTAACTTAGAAAAAGTACAAATAAGGATACTAACTTTGTTTTCTTTCTATTTGAGAATATAACTTTGTCAATTTCTAAATAAAGATACCAACTTTCAACTTTCAACTTTTTCTATTTAAAAATGTCAACTTTCAATGTTTTTTATTTAAAGATATTAACTTTCAACCTTTTCTATTCAATGATCAATTGGATGGAAATGTTGACGTGACAAATAGATTTTTTTAAAAAGGTTAACATCCTTGTATAAAAAAAGTTAAAAGTTGGTATCATTAAATATAAAATGTTGAAAGTTGGCATACTCAAATAAAAAATGTAGAAAGTTGGCATCCTCAAATAGAAAATGTAGAAAGTTAGCATCCTTATTTATTAATTGATAAAGTAAACATCATTAAATAGAAAAAATTACGAAGTTTGTATTATTATTTGCACGTTTTCCCCACTAACTTAAAAACTTTGATTTGAGGTCAAGGTCAAAGATTCAAAACTCTGTGTTGCCAAGTAATTAATTCTTTGATGTACCAACGAGGGGTTGGATCAAGTGGCAAGCGGCTTGTTCCAGCTTAAGCAAGATCTCGAGTTCGAGACCTTGTGTACGCAGCAATCTTCGTTGGGAGACCCACCCACCATTCTGGTGCGCCACAGCTGGTCGAGTCCGGAGTAGTCGGGGCGAAGCCCCGGATACCGGATGGGGAACCAAAAAAAAAAAAAATTCTTTGATGTACAAAAAAAAAAAATGATATGTCAAAGTTGCAAATAAAAACTGTATAAATTAATTTTGGTGGGATCCATTGCTTACATAACAATAAGATGGCATTTTTTATTATACATCAACGTTGAGTTGGTACTAAATTAGTAATTTATAGGTTAAACCCCTATTTTGGTCCCTGAACTATTGTACGGATCCCCGATTTGGTCCCTGAACTAAAGAAATCCCTAATTTGGTCCTTAAACTATTGTACGGACCCTTAAGTTGGTCCCTAAACTATTGTACGAACTCCCAAGTTAGTCCCTAAACTATTGTACGGATGCCCAATTTGGTCTCTATTGTTTACCAATTTAACCCCAACTTGGTCCTTCTGTTAAATAATAGCTTAGGGACCAAATTGGGGCGAAATTGTAAACAGTAAGGACCAAATTGAGGGTTCGTACAATAGTTCAAGGACCAACTTAGGCCAAATTATAAATAGTGGGGACCAAATCGGGGGTCCGTACAATAGTTTAAGGACTAAATCAGGGATTTCTTTAGTTCAGGGACCAAATCGGGGGTCCGTACAATACTTCAGGGACCAAAATGGGGATTTAACCTAATTTATATTAAGGTTTTTCCTTAAAGGGCATTTATTATATATTTTTATTATTGATTTACATAAAAAAATTATGAAAATAAATTTTATTTTCAACATCAATATCATGAAAAGTATTTTAATTAGATGGTTGATAAAATTAAAATAAATTTTTATTTTTCTATACCATGATTACAACATATGTCTCAATCAGCATTATTTAAATTTATCATATTTACAATAATTATTTAACAAAAAAAATAAGACTTCTCATCGCCTAAAATGGCCCAAACAACAATTACTACAACATAAAATTACCATTATATTGACAACTTAGTGCCTTATATTTTCATAAGTTCTTTTTTTTATTATTCTGCCCAAAATGGATCTAAAGAGAAAAAATTAATCACTTACTTATTAGAAATTAGTCTGAATTTAATTATAATTGTAATCTCAGCTAGCTACCCAAGAGGGGGGGTGAATTGGGTCATATCAATTTATACTTCAAAGCTTGTTTCTTTTTCTTTCAAAACTTGAATCAAATTTCCAATATATAAACTGTGGTGCAAAATAAACAAAGAATAATAAAGTGCAAAAATATGAAAAGAAAGGGAAGAAAATATCAAACTGTGATTTATAGTGGTTCCTCCAACCCGGAGTACATCCACTCCCCAAGCCTTCTTGCTTGAGAGTTCAATCCATTAGGATTCTCTTGCTTATAGGTGTAAGATTAAACTGGAAGAAACTCTTACTTGCGAGTGCAAAATTAAACCCTCACAAGTGAATATCAACAACTCACTCAACCCTTTCAAGGATTATCCAATCCAAGAAGAATACCAAACCCTTGTAAGACAATTAACCCAAAAGCTCACAAGAAGAAGAAGAAGAAGATCCCGAATAGTTTCAAAAACAAACTCTGTTTTTCTGTATCACTGGAGCAGTTCATTCTTCTGTGTTCTTCCATATCTGATTTTTTGATGTTATTTTAATAGTTGGTTGGGAGCCTTGCAATTAAAGCTCATTTTGCCCTTCAAAGCCACCTCACAATTGCTCCAATTAGATTCCACCTTTTTCTACTGACTTGTCTTGGAAAGTGCTTAGACATTTGGATCCCCTAAGCCCCATTAAGAATAAACGGATAGTTGAGCTATCAAAATTTTACCTTCCAGAATTTTTTTGCTTTGAAGCCATATATATTGATTCGAACCATTTTTGGAAAAAGAATTACGAGATTGGTTCGAATCAATTATATCCAAAACTTTGAACAAAGAGGACATGATTTAATTCTAATCATGGGAAAAGATTAGAATCCTTAAATTAACTTTCTTGCACACTTAGCACAAAAATAGATTAAACTCTTTTGAATCATAGTTTTAAATCATCATCAAAATACAAAAAGAACCTAACAATAATTATTGTCTACTTTAATCATTTACTCCTTTAGTTCAATTTTAGTAGATATAATTTTTTTTATCTAATAAAATAATAATGTAATAATTAATTGACAAATTTTCATATTTATCTCTAACTAATCATTATTTTTAATAAATCTTCTTATTTAATATATGTTGTAGTTATCTTTTTAAAATAAAGGTAAGTAGGAATAAATGTATTATATGGCATTCTAAAATAGACAAGTAAATTTAAACACACTAAATTAAAAATTAAGTATACTAAAATTGAACTAATATTTCATTTGTTTTTGTCCCAAATAACTATTACTTTTTATTTTGAAATTCTCTTAAATTAATTGTTATTTGTTTATTTTTAAAATAAATAAATATTTTTTACTTTAACCTTATTATTATTTATTTATTTTAATTAATTATCTAACCGTAAAATTTTTTTATCTTTTGTTTTTTATGAAAGTATTATAGATAAATATAAATATTATTTTTAAATCCTTAATTTAATGGAAAAATTAAAATATAATAATTATTTTGAAAAAAAAAATATGTTATTAGTTTTTATTAGAGTTTTGGTCACCAACAGGTAAAGATCTACCCTAAATTACCAATTCAATGCCGAAATAATGAAAAAATTCCACCTCAACGCCATATCATCAATGGAGCGCGGCATATCATCAATGAAGCACACCAAAATGAAGTCCCCATCTGATTTAACGCTTTTCTTACGTCAGCTGTGCGATAGGGACTGATTTGCAGCCATATGATGAGTTGAGGAGCTAATTTACATCTGTTTTTAGTTGATGGGCTGATTTGCCACCATTGACTGAGGACAAGGGCTGATTTGCCTTTTTGCCAAATATCTCCATCAATTATATAAGATTTTTTTTTTTTTTTTGTTCATTTGTCAATTTATATAAATAAGAAATAAATTGTAGCCCAAATGCGATACAATTGAAAAGATATTAAAGAAAGGTTGAGTGATCAAATTCTATGATGAGAAAGCATAAATAAAATTAATAAAAAATGCAATCATATTAAGTTTGGATCACAATATTTAATTATATAGGACATTGATACAAACACTTTTTGGTTCAACAAACTCCAAAATATATTCATTAAAAAATTATTATTTTTTATTTAAAATTCAAGGCAGAGAAACTTAAAGTTACAAATGTTTAATAACTGAATTGATAAATATGAATAGGTGTGTTAAAGCAAAGGTGTACTAATAATTTTCTTAAAAATATTCATGTTAGATTTGAACTACTCCGTAATAAATATTTTTTAGAAAGTCCATTGATTATTTATTGTAAAGTTCATTTGGTACTTACTTGAGAATTTTATAGGGAATTTTATTGTTACGGTAGTTTTATATATATTTAAGATTATTTTGCTTTATCATATTATTTAATCCACTTACATAATTTTATGTTGATTTTTTTTGTCAATTGACTTTGCCATTAACATAACAACTTTTTTGGTCAAGATCCATGTACCCTCAAAAACTTAAACTCAAGTGATTAGTTTCAACATTTATATAGTACTTAGGTTCACACTTCCATCTTGATATGGTATTTGAGGTTTTACATACACTCTCTTGGGTGTCAAGATGGTGAGATTCCTTTACCCAATTGGAGTCTCAAGAATGGCTTTCAAGTCAAGAGTGACTTAGGAGAGAGTTAAGCTATTAAGACCTTCTAGGTGTTGGAGAGAAAGATACCTTGTGAGGGATTTAGGGAGTGTTCTTGGGAAATTTAAGATCCTAGATGAGGTTGAGATTAAGCTTCTAATATTGTAACTCATTCTTAGTCATCCTAAATGAGATTGAGATTGAAATTAAGCTTCTAATATTGCAACTCATTCTTAATAGTAGGTTTTTTCTCTTCTTCTCCTTGGTTTGTCCTTATGTTGGGAGGGTTCTCCATAGTGGTGGAGCCACTTGGAGGCTAGTGGTGCCATGGCCCCCCTAGTCTCTTGAAATTTTGTTAAATAGAGCCCTATATTTTATATAAGTGTAAATAGCACCCTAGACTTTGAAAAAAAATAAGATATTTATTTTAGAAATAATTAAAATATATTTATTAATTTCTTTTAATTCCTTTTAAATGTTTCTCTAATGGTTAGTATTGTGCCTCTACAAAATCTTGTTGAAACTTTTTTTTTTTTTTGTATTTTATGTTTCATTTTTCAATTTTTATGGATTATTTTTAATGAAAAAACAAAATTTTCTTATTCCTTTGGCAACTTTCTTGAATATATGTGTGTAGATTTAGTTATGAGTGAATGATGAATTTTGTTTTTAAGTGCAAAAATTCACTATCTACTTATAAATAATATAGTTTTTATTTTTTAGAATGTATTTGGTTACTTAACATGGCTCTCATGCTACTTTGTTGTCAATTATCATAATGCTAATTGGTTATTGAAGATATGTGCCATGTGGGTTGTTTTATCTTGAACGAAGGAGTATACCATAAAAATAACTACAATTTGTTTTTGAGAACATCTTAGTCTTGTTTTTCAGAATATAGCTTAGTTTTATTGGTTGATATACATTAACATTTTGTGATATTGATATTTTTAAAATGAAATTTTTATGCTGAGTTATGACATAAATTTTAGCTAATTTTTCTATAAAAAAGATATGTATGATTTCAGTTTTCATAAACATAAATCTTAGCATTATCAATCTTCTACTACCTTTACAAGTCAAATATATGAAATTTGATTATTTAATTTTCTTCTTTTGTAGTGTTGCAGTTGGGCCCCCACCATAAATCCTGTCTCCGCCACTGGTTTTCCATCTTAAATTGAGTGTTTTTTTCTTAATAATTATTTTGCTTTATCTATTATTTAATCCTCTTACATAATATTTTCTATGGTAATATTTTTCCTTCAATTGACTTTTGCATGATCAAGAGTCAAACTGCCAACAAGTTGTATATATAAAAGAGATTTTTGAAAGGCCTACCAAAGAAAAACAAAAAAAAAAAAAAAAAAAAAAAAAAAAAAGGAAGAGGAGATTTTAAGAGGGGGAAATTCATACCCAACAGTGACTACCACTATGCCATAAACAAGACATATAATGTAAGGCAACACATTACCAGATGCCTAAAGACTAGGACCACTCTAATGACTTATTCTTTAACGATGCTCTTCCTTAAACTGATGTTTCAAACATCCAGTTTAAAGAATACAATTATGACCCCAACAAATAGTGATACAGAACAGGAAATTAATATTAGCTGCATTTAATATGAAAGGTATTTGGCGAATTAACAGCTATCCGCATCAACGGCTTTAGGCAGAATGTTGTAGCTTTTGATATTCTTTATCACTGCAATAAACGTCGTCAGCCCTATCACTAATGCATTTCTCCTTTCAATGATCATAGCCCAGTCGCTGTCAAGGTCTGTCTTGCGATAGGAAACCCTGAGAACAATTTTCAACTTCTGATCTTCAATTTCTTTGACGTTAAAGCTATAATTCGGTAACCATTTGTTTTTATTAACACGCAAGAACCTGAAGGTTAAAAAGTAATGTCATGCATTAACTGTAGTATGTGAAACGAAACAAAGAAAATACATATGATTCAACTCTGAACAGGAAAAAAAATCTCTTCCCCATAATTTTTTTTTTTTTTTTTGACAAGGACAATAATTAGTAAGTTAGTTTTATTAGTTGTTAGGAACTGGGGATTCGATCTCTAGATCTGGTGAACATCCTTCTTCCTTCAATAAGGCGCGTGGCCCATCGGACCGCTTGGTAGAGTTCTTCCCCATAATCCATTAGGTTGAGGTTATATGTTTTTTTAAATAATAATAATAACATTTGGATTATATCTTCATATGTTTTTTAGGATTACTGCATATGAAAATTGAGCATCTAAATTTTAATACCAAACGTGCATCTAACTTAAAACTATTAGTAATAAATGAAATAATTCTTCTTATATTTAAAGTACATGTTTCTTTATTATATTTTTGATATATGATTTTACTACTCAACACAACCCCTCATGACCTTCTCAGGAGTGGTATTTTGCTACCCAACATACTCCCTCATGGCCTTCTCAAGAATGGAGCCGAGCTCTGACATCATAAAAATTAAGCACGTTGACTTTAATATTGAATTTTCATCCAACTTAAAACTATTTTGTAATAAGTTGAGTAACTCTCTTTAGTTTTAAGTTATATGTTTCTTTATTATATCATTAATGTGAGATTTTCCTATTTGCATGTTTTAATAAAAAAAAAAAAAAAAAGTAAAAAAGTGGATGAGTATATGCAACTTTTGTAATCGAGGGATAAGTAGTATGACGACGTAATATACCGAGATCATTTCAAGTTTTGCATTTATTTTGTTTTAATGAATAATAGTAACATAAAGAATATAATTATCAACATTTACTCTTTATGTTTTAGTGATTTTTTTTTAATGTTTTGATGCAGCACCTCGTTCATATTTATTTACTACTAGTAGATAGAAATAAATATAAGCATAGAACTTTGAATAGACTCCATAAATGCCCCTTTTGCGTTGTTTTGTTGTCCCACTTAGAGATTGTAAGGAGATAGAAGTCATTTAAAAATAAGTTAAAGTTACAATTATTAAGTGTGAAATATCACATTTATCCCTTAATCATCTACAATAACTTTTTGTAAAGCCAACCGATCGAAAATCTAGGAATATTACTGTAACAAAAGCATTTAAAATCTCTTAAAAACAATGACGCAAAAAATATCTATTTCTCTTTCAAATAGAGACTAAGAGAACAAAAAAAAACTCATATATAACCAGTGGGACAATTAGAAAAACAGAGAGTAGTACTACTCATTAACAAACTTTATTCGGAGTACATAATTAGAATAAAAGTTTCATATTTTAAGTTCATATTTTGTAATTTAAATTATATTAAATTATAAAATAAAAAATTATTGGATGAGATAGAGCCCCTAATATCAATGGTTCTATCCACCCTCATGCTAAAACAAGTTATGTAATTCAAATTATATAAAACTTTTTGTTTAAAATAATTAAAAATATTGGTTGATACATATTTGAGTTCAAATTTAAGATAAATTTATACTAACCATTGATAATGATTTAAGCCCTATACAATCTACGATTAAAATATTCTCTCCCTAAAGTTTGGTCTCAAAAATCGCTATATAATTAATAGTAATAAATATATTTTTGCTGATAAAAAAGTACTCTTAATAATTTACTTTATTTTCCTGTAGAGATCATGAAATAGCTCCCTTAAACCAAATGATGGGATAATAATTTCGTAAAATTTTTCATATTAATAAATCATATCAGGACGGGGAGAGAAAAAGTTAACAGTTGGCGTACCTGTCTATTGCGGTGCGCAAAGATTTAATCTGAGGTAGTTGACCTATTGGGTCCTCGAAAAATTCAATTTGAGATAATTTGCTGTCTGTGGTGGTGGTCGAATCACATTCTGCGCCTTTGGTGGTGGTCGAATCACCTTCTGTGGCCCAGAAGGTGCCTTTGGTGGTGGTCAAACCATCACTGAATGTGGGGGTGACTTTAATGGTGGACAAAGCAATAGCAATCTCAAAGGAATCCTCGATGACATGGCGGTCACCCTTGTACAATTTTTTGATGCGCTGAGTAGCTAAAACTGAATTTGGACACATTACCTTATCCTTCACATGATTTTTGCGAAAGACTGTTGAGTGAAGATTTATCTTTTCAACCACCATCTGTAAAGTGTAAGAGTTTATTAGAAGTTATATATATACTTTTAAGGATTAAAAATCAAAAATAATTTCTTTTTCAAAATAAAAAATAATTTATTTTTCAAAAATTTCTAAATAAATAGCTTCAGTATATATATAAGCATAAATATGTTGTACAATTTAAATTATAAAATTTTCATTATTAAATGAGAACATATGATATTGAAAGATATCTTCATTCTATTATTTCTATTTTATAGTTAAATTCAAGAGAGTCATACGTAAGTTATATAAGATTTAGGGGTATCTACCTCTTCTCCATTGATGAGACAAGAATCACCAATATCAAATGGATGATTAACAAATACAAATATGATGCCTTGAAATGTACTTTTGACAGTGTCGCCAAAGATGAATGCCAAAGCAACAAACTGACCCATAATCGCGATAAATGCTTCTGTTGTTAAAATTCCCAGCATAATTAACCAGAGAACGAAGAGTAGAATAAGCAGTATCACAGATAGAAGCTTGTTCAACTCGTCTATTGCTATTGCAGTATCATTTAAGGACTGTGCTAGTGATCTACGTTCAATGATAGCATTTACCTGCATATAAAAGCAATCACGGTGTGAGAAATTCGTATATTTTATCAGCAAATGAAAGACACATAATTGGAAAAGCTATTTGATTATAATTAAGGACTTGCCAGCCACTTCTTTAGAGCTTGGATCCCGATTATTTCGTCGTTCTGCCCCCCGAGTATATGTTGTAGCACATACTTCACATCGTCACTAGGGTCTTCTGCTTCAAACAAAGGCAATTGCTGGAGTTCACCCTTCTCAATCTTTTTTGCGGAGAGGATACTGTGAAACCAAAAATTAAAATATACGTTATGTTAAAATTGATAAGATACAAACAGAAATGAATTTATTTGAGAGGCCCCAAAATATAAAATTAGGTAATGTAAATATGTCTTCTTTTTTTTTTCTTTTCTTTTCGGCTTTGGCTTGGTCTTGGCTGAAAGAATGAATTTATTGATAAATAAAATTATTGAAACAGAAAGTAAGACTAGCGCCAGTAATTTCTTGCGTTATGAATTATAAAGGTTGCAAATAACACACTTTGTATGTCTAATTATTTTGACACAAATAACTTTAAATGTGATGCACAAAATGGTCACAAATAAGGTAATAATTGTATCTTTTTTTTCATAACTAAAATTCTATATATTATAACAATTGCAAAATTAATTAGTATTAGTTTTAATAACTCAGTATTTATAATGAATAATAACTAATTAAATTCTAGGCACAAATAAAATTTGGGATAAAAAAATATAAGTTCTTGTAACTGATTCTACTGTCACAAAAGAAAAAAAAAACCTATTTTCTTGCAATGAGCCAGCATTTAGAATAATGAACATAGAAAAAGAAACAGAATAAATCCAAGTAATTTTAGTCTTCTGACCTTTCGTCTTTATAGATTATTTCAGAGACATTTTTGAAAATATCAGCAGCCAAGTCTTCCGTTTTTTCAAATAATTCGATCACATCCTGCTCCTTTTTGGCTAGTTTCTCAAGTTTTTGTGTAATTGGAGACAACGGATCATCAGGAGACGTTATAACGCTCATTAAATGGTTCATGGACCAAGCAGATATTTCCTCAGGTTCTATTTTCTTTAGCCGATTGATTACTGGATTTGTCCCCTTCTTTTTGCATGGCAATTGGTTCTTATTGATCCACTTCACAACAACACTTTTCTCATCCGATACACGAGAGAAAACCCCAAGAATATATTGATCAATCAAAGATTCTCGAAACCTATGGAACAATCTTGTAGCTTGGAATGGGGAAGATAATATGTTCACTAAAAGAGCTTTTAGCACCCATAGAAACCCCCCAATTACAAGTGTACCAAGAGACCTCGTTATGTATTTCTGAACGTGAGAATCAAGCTTTGATCTCTTAACTTCATGATTGGCCAAATTTAAAAACCTCTTAACTTCACTACTCTTAAACAACAAAACCCACGTAAGAAGAACCGAACCAAACCACAAAACAACACCGATACACTTCCCTAAACTATAAATATAATAACTATAATAGACCTTTACCTCCATGAACAAAAACACCGTTTTAACTGAGTAAACTACAAGCATCATCATCCATTGCATGATTCTTCTGCCACCGACAATCACCATTACAAGGACGCACCACTTCCACGGTTCTAAAAACCAGATCGCATGGTTTTTAGACACGTTCCCAGTTAAACTAGCAATTAGACCTCCCAATGACAAGACAAATACAATCCCCTCAATCAACCACTTGCTCTTTGTTCGATTAGAGATGGAAGAGCACCCTTCTGGCATTTTGATGCAGAAATCTTGACTTCTATTCATGAATCCTAGTTAGCCAAAAATAACACTCGACTTCAGTTAACCAAATACCACATTCTTGAACGTATAAATGAATTTGTAGAACTAGCTAGGAAGAGAAATTAACAAACAATATCTAATCACATAATAGATAAATAGATGAAGTAATATACTTACACTATGATTTCCAGAAGAAGAGAAAACAGATGTGAGAAAAGAGAGGAACCAGAATCACATTATATATAGAAATGGTTCATGAATTAACGTCGGCATTGCGCCAAAGGGTGACATCAACATTTGCGTCTTTTTCGTTGTTTGCGAGTTATACGATACAACGAATAGTAAATAGTCATCTCCTTCCCAGACCCTTTCTAGCTCGTTTTAAAATTTAAATTTTAAGTATACTCCTGCAAGACAAATATAAGACTTAAGTTGGGATTAGCCTGATGTGGGTTCTAAAGATGATTCAAAGATAGATTAGTTTTGAAATGTATAAAAAAAAAAAACAATCCCCTGAGTCCTCTCAGCTTCATGTAAAAAATATGTGTTTTTAATAAATTTTTTTAACCCTCACCAACTGAATCAAAATAATAATTATGATATGAACGGGTTGACCAATTGTGTTAATGGGCCAAATATACTACAACACAGCATTAAATAGAAAAATAATAAATTGGAATTAGAATAATTCCCCTAAAAACAATATATGTGAAACCCCAACTCCATGTACCTAACTTTTCTAGAACTCCACAAACAGAACAATCAGAATATATATATATATATATATACACCAAACTTCAACCCATTGATAGAGCAGGGAGAACACATCTACCAAAAATCCATTAGCAAGACTGCAAAGTTACCACAGTTCCAACGATTTTTTCTCACCAGTCACTATCAACTTTTTTTTTTATTATTATTTTGGTTGCATAATAGGAGGCAACCAACTCTTATCTTTTATCTCACCCCACTCGCATGTCACATAACTCGAAGTCAAGACCTTTTATTTCTAGCAAAAGGAGATAACTACTGAACTATTTAGGCCATTAGCAATCACTATCAACTTTTGATTTGAGGCAAATATAATTTTGGTTATACTAAATTTAATATTCTTAAATATATGTCAACAAATAGAATAATATAATAAAATATTATGAATAGATACATATATAAAAAAGTTGATAATTTATTAACACTTCATAATTATAAATTTATAAAGTTTTGTGGTATTGTAACTATATTAGGACCATGATTGGTGCACACTCGGGAGTGCACCCCCCACATAAAAAAAAAAATTGGACCGGGTGATGGGCATTTTTTTTTATGTGGGGGTGCACACCTGGGTGTGGGATCTGGATGTGCACCCATCATTTTCCAACTATATTATTTTTATATTATTTATTCAAGAGTTGTGTTAAACCCTTATAGTTTGTTAGTTTAGTTTGAGGGGAGGAGAGAGGAAGGGAAGGAAGGGGAGGGAAAGAAGTTTTCCAATTTGAATAGTGAAAAATTGGAGGAGAGGGGAGGTAAGGGATTTTTCCTTAATTTACTCTAATTTTTTTGTATTTTAATTAAACCAACAAAGCAAGGAGTGGGGAGAAAAATAAAAAGATATAGTACAAACCATGTTAAACCCAAACTCCTCATACCTAACAATTGGTTAGGAACGTAACTTGAATTCAAAGATAAAGAATTCAAACATTTTTTACTTTTACTTAACAAATAACAATAATAACTATAGACACTAATTGTTATACTCTTCGATTTAATATATTTTTCAAAATATTCATTAAAAAATTGTTATTTTTTTATCTAAAATTAAAAGTAAATAAACTTAAAAATACAGTGATGCATATAGCATGCAAAATCAATCGAATTGATTATACTTATATTATATTTTCAGAGTTTTTCTAATGTGTATCCTAAGAGCAAAGGTTAAAAAAACTATATTTTAATTATTAAACCAAATAGAAATAGAAAGGTGTATTGAACTAAAGAATTTACCAATCATTTTTTATAATTATAATATGAACCATTAGACCGATTGTCTTAATGAGCCTAATATACACTATAACAAAACAAATGACAGAAGAACAATACATTAGAATTAGAATAATTGCCCAAAGAACAATATATGTGAAACCCCAACTCCGTGCACCTAACCTTTCTAGACCGCCAGAAACAGAACAATCAGAGGTGTACCAAACTTCAACCATTGACAAAATAGCGGAGTCACATCCTCACTAGTCACTACCATTTTGATTTGAAGCAAATATCATTTTCTAACTCCCCAACAGTCCAAATTAACTACAGTAAACCATAAATTTAGGTTTTTTAAACAACAGTGCTTATTCATTTATTTTTTGAAAAAAAAAAAGGAGAGGAATTTTGTGGAAAAGGGAGTTCTACGTACATTTGAAAATAGTAGTACAATCCATGTGAAACCCGAACTTCTTGCACCTAACAATTGATTTGGATATGTACAATAGAGAACTATAAAAAAACTCACCTTAGTATTATATAATCGAAATTTATATTATTTTATATAAATTAATATATATATTATTTAAGATTGTATAATGGAAAGCAATCTTCTCTCAATCCTAAACTCACCCAACTGCATGTTATATGACTTGAATTCAAAATTTTTTACCTTGAATAAAAGAAAATTAACACTGAATTATTAAGGTAAATACAACATCTATAAAAACACTTCTTAGATGCTTTGAATTTTTTTAAAATCCACATTAATTAATATTGCTTTATTCAATACACATTTTTAACCCTCACTGACTAAATCAAAATAATAATTATAATATGAAGTGGTTGACCAATTCCGGTAATGGGCCAAATATACTATAACACAACACTCAATAGAAAAACAATATATGTGAAACCCCAACTCCATGAACCTAACTTTGGTAGACCTCCACAAACAGAACAATCAGAGTATATATATACCAAACTTCAATCGATTCATAAAGCAGGGAGATCACATCTACCAGTAATCCATAAGGAAGACCACAAAGTTACCACAGTTCCAACAAATTTTCCTCTCTAGTCACTACCAACTTTTGATTTGAAGCAAATATAGTTTCGTTTATACAAAATTTAGTACACTTAATTACATATCAATAAATACAATAATATAATAACACATTATGAATAGATAAATATATGAAAAAGAGTTGATAATTTAAAGACACATCATAATTACAAATTTACAAAGTTTTGTGGCACTCTAACATTATTATTTTTATATTATTTATTCAAGACCCATGCCAACTCTTATAGGTTGTTTTTTTTTTTTTTTTGAAAAGCAAAGACAATTTCCATTATAGGAGTACTGGGTGTACTCCAAACCTTTTATAGGGATATATGTGCTTATTCAGCAACTAATTCCTCCAAAAAACATCTGACCTCAGACATAAACGAGCGCCCCTTCCTAAGAAATCCGTTGCTCACCCTGGTATTGTCACCCTGTTTTGCCTTTTTTTGCTGCAACGCCTCTTAAGCAAGATACTGGGTCCTGGATCCAGTCAGACAATGAAAAAAGATAGCTTTTCTTTCTGCATTTCATCCAGCTAAAGGACCTTAGTTGAACCAAATCAAGCAGGTTGCATTTGCCAGCTTCTTTTCCTTTAAATATGCTGTCGTTCCTTGCCAACCACACTGTCCACACAACTACTAACCATATGCACCTCCAGCCCTCGTTTATTCCTGCCACTTTGAGAGCCGAAGGATGCTGTTGGAATACCTTACACCTTTCTCTGTCCAGTGTTGTTCTAATTCCCCACCACCTGAAGCAAGCATTCCACAGATCATATGCCACTTTGCAGTGCGTGAATATATGGCTGGTTTCCTCCATTTGGTGCCCGCAAAATTCACATTTGCAATCCTCCATGTTTTGAATTATACCTTTTTTGAAAAGATTTGCCTTTGTAGGGATTTTATCCTGAAGAAGTTGCCATGAAAATGCTGAAACCTTACTTGACACCACTACATTCCATACTTTCTGAAGGGTCACTCCTAGTTGTTCCCGCTCGAGCTCCATTGTGAGTGCCTTGTAAGCAGATCTTGTTGTGTATACCCCATTGTTACTATGTATCCACTCCCATACATCAGTTTTTCCTTTTGTGATTGTTGTTTCCTGGATTTCCTTCAAGATGTCTGATTCTTCTTAGACTTCCCAGCTATATAACCTTCTCCTCCACTGCAGTTTCCATATCCAGCTGCCATTGAGCCACCATCCCATTTGTGAAACTATATTGTCTTTACTTGCAGATATTAAGTAAAGTCTTGGGTATTTGTTAGCCAATATTCCTCTCCCACACCAATCGTCCCACCAGAATTTTACACTATCCCCTTCTCCTATTTTAATATTCAGCCCCTTTGCTAACCAACCCTCATTCTCCTGATCTATGACATTCAACCTACAGATATCCCTCCACCATCTTGACCCAAAACCATTACCCTCCCTCAACCAATTATATCTTGGTTCCCCGTCCCTGCCATATTTCTGCAATATAACTTTCTTCCATAGTCCATCCTCCTCGTTAACCAATCTCCCCCACAACTTCCCTAGCAAAGCTAGATTAAACTTCCTTAAATCCTTCACACCTAATCCCCCTTGCTCTTTGTCCCTACAAACCTTGACCCATCTAACCCAATTTATTTTCTTTCCTCCCTTAACTCCTCCCCATAAAAATCTCCTACAGATTTTATCAAGAAATAGAATCGTACCTTTCGGGATCATGTACACGGACATCCAAAACACGGGTAGACTAGACGGCACTGAGTTAATGAGAGTGATCCTTCCTCCTAGAGATAAGTATCTCCATTTCCATGTGGATAGTTTTTTGGTCACGCCCTCCAACACTGGTTTCCAGAATGAAAGCTTCCCACACCTCCCCCCAATGGGAATCCCCAAATACTTAAAAGGCAAGTACCCTTTTTTGCAACACAATACCCATGCCATTTTTTTTATCCACTCTTCCTTTACTCCGATGCCAATGAGCTGACTTTTGTTGAAATTTATCTTTAACCCCGATACCAACTCGAATGTCCTCAAGATGCTCTTCATAGCCCATACATTTTCATCAGTAGCTGTGCCAAACAGCAATGTGTCATCTGTGCATTGGAGATGTGTGACCTTGAAGCCTTTATCTCCCACTTCTACACCTTCAAGTAAACCTTTCTCCACTGCATTCAAAACCAGCCCATTAATCCCTTCTACAATAATCAAAAATAAGAATGAGGATAGCGGGTCCCCTTGCTGAAGACCTCTGGACATAGAGAATTGTCTGGTAGGGCTACCATTGACCAAAACCGACACCATACTTGAACTTAGGCACTCCATAATCCATTTTCTCCAAATATTTGAAAAACTCGTCTTTTGCAACATAAAATCAAGAAATCTCCAACTAACCTTGTCGTAAGCTTTCTCAAAGTCAATCTTAAACAAAAACGCTTCCTTCTTCTTCTTTTTTCCTTCATCACTGACCTCATTTGCTATTACAACCCCATCCATTAATTGTCGATTGCTTACAAATGCCATTTTCTATTCACCAACTATTCCAGCCAGCACCTTCTTAAGCCGGTTAGCAAGTAACTTTGCAAGGATTTTTTATATTCCCCTGATTAGCGAAATTGGTCTATACTCCTCTATTTTCTATGGATTCTCTACTTTTGGCACAAGAACTATGAATGATGTATTTAGACCCTTCACAAGTTTGCCATTCTTCTGAAATTCGCTCTTGATGAATTTAAAATTGAAGCCATCCGGACCCCGTGCTTTTGAACTTTCACAGCCCCAAACAGCTGTCTTGATCTCTTCTTCGGTAAAAGGTGCAGTGAGAAAGTCATTATCTGCTGGGGAAATTTGTTTGAATTGGAGTCCTTCTACAGATGGTCTCATCCACTGCTCCTCCGTGAATGTTTCCTCAAAAAAGGTGGCAATTTCTTCTTTCAATTTATCAGCCTCTGTAATCTGAACTCCTTTTACATGAATGCTATTCATTTCATTCCTTTTCCATCTCCCCTTCACACAATTGTGGAAAAATTTCGTGTTTGCATCTCCATTCGCTAGCCATGCTTTCTTGGATTTCTGCTACAGCATACTCTTTGTGTCTAATATTGTCCCACAAATTCAAGAATGCCTGTCTTCTTCTCTCAATCTCTTCCTCAGATAGCTGAACCATCTCTCCTTTCACATCTAGCTGCGAGATCTCTGCCGTAGCATCTCTTATTCTTCTTTCTATCTTTGGGACAAGGTTTCTGCTCCATGTCTTCAAGGCCTCTTTGGTGTTCTTGAGTTTTGCTTTGAGACGAAATCCGGCCCACCGATGACTTTTTTCCTTTCTCCATGCTTCTCTTATCACCTCCCAACACCCTTCTTGCTCTAGCCAAACATCAAAGAATCTGAATGGCTTAAGTCCCCAGTTTACTTTCTGATGTTTAAGAAGGATTGAGCAATGGTTGGATACAGTTCTGGTTAGTCCCCATTGTGTTGCCTCCCCCCACTTATTCAACCACTCTTCAGACAGTAAGAACCTGCCAATTATACTCATCAACTTGCCACTCGGTTGATACCATGTGTATTTTCTACCCACTAATGGTATATCAATCAGTTCTGATTCCATTATGAAATTGTTAAACTCCCTCATCTCAATAGTTACTGCTTTGCTTCCTACTTTCTCCTCTACATTCTTTACCATGTTAAAGTCACCCACAAGACACCATAGCCCTCTTGTCTACAAAACTAATTTTTTTAATTCCCTCCATAAGCTTCTTTTACCCGCTAATTGACATGGAGAATAAATATTGATGATATTAACACAAACATCCTCTGCTACCCACCTCCCCTATATCACGATGAAATTCTCACCCTCCCAAACTTTCATCATTCTGAGTGCTTTAGAGTTCCATACACAGACCATACCTCCCGACAATCCTACCGAATCCTTAGCCACCCATTCAAACTCCTCTATCCTCCACAACAAACTACAAAATTTTCTATCTATTCCACTCTTTTTAGTTTCCTGAATTGTTAGGAAGTCCACACCTTCTCTATTCACTAAATCTCTAACAATTGTCTTCTTCCCCGCAACCCCCAATCCTCTAACATTATATGACAAGATATTCATTTAATCACAGCACTCACCTTCTGTTCTTTACTCGGACCCTTTAAGCTTTCTTTCTCTTTTGTTGTTCTATCTCTAGTCTCCATCTCCTCAAGTTTCTTGATGACTGATTCTTCTTCCTCTGCAACTACCCCTATCTTCTTCACAAACTCCCATATATCAGTAGCAATCTGCTTGTTAGGGAGTTCCTTTAGCAATCTATTACAATTCTGAATACCGCTATCTCTTACGGATCCACCCGCTATTGAGTTGCTTGTGCTTGGCAGGAACATCGGCACTGCTTCTTCCTCCGCTTGCCTCGCGCCACATCTGCCCCTGCTTTTCTTCTTCTGCTTCATGAATCCAAGAAGGATTGATTTTTGGTATACGGAAGTGCACGATTTGCTCCTTTTCTTTATCTTTTTCTTGTCCTTTTTCTGTGTTGTGCCCGTCTCCTCTTCCCTGCTCCCTTCTATACTACCCCTCTCGTTGCTACAAGAGCTGCAATTCTTCAGAATATTTGTGCTTTTATTTTTTGCATTTTCCCGTGAGTTCTTCTTTTTAACTCCCTCGTCGAGCCTCATTTCAATCCCCATTTGTGGACTAATATATATTCTTTCATCGGCCCAATATTCTTTTGACATTCCTTCACCGGCCCAATTTCCTTTGGCAGCATATCCATCTAATGGATCATTACTGGGTTGGATGCCCAGCCATAACTTCCCAAACTTGTTGCAGGATTTGAATTGGAGAAAGTCTTCACCTTACTTCCTGATACACACATTCTAATATCATCTCTCTCCCCTGCATCATCCTCTTCCATATCCATTTCAAAACTATTTGCTACCACATCAACGGACTCTTCCTCACCTAATCTGCTATGTGAGAGCCTAACCTTCTTTTTTGACCATTCATCATCATCACTCTTTCCTTCGAATTCAAATTTTGCTTCTGAGTTTGAAGTGATAGCCAACCTGCTTTCTCTCTCGTTGCTCGGAAATGTTTCTCTGCCTGAAATATCCTCGCCGACATTACCTCCGATTTTTGCTCCCCCGCTATCTTCATCAAAGCCTGCTGTATAATCAAAGGCATCCGACCAAGACTCATCAAGCTCTGAGTCACTATTAAAAGACGGCCTGAAATCATACTTCAGTGAGAAGAGACTGTTTGTCAATTCCTTCTCTGAAAACTTCAACTCATATATATCCCCATTGACTTTAACTTTCTAGTGAACGGAGATTGTATCCATTATTGTTGTTGATAGTAGAAATCTTGCTACGTCAAACCTTCAATTTTTGCTTGTGCTATCATCCAAACATATACATTTCCCCCAAACTAATGCCAACTCTTCAAAGAATTCTGGGCCCCAAGCATGTAAAGGAGCTCCCTAGCACCTTATCCAAACAAATCTTTCTTTTGCTACCACTGAGGGTGACCACGGTTTTACCTCTGAAAACCATTGACCAAGCCACTCTGAGGCTCCCTCCACTAAATCCTTAATTTCATCTTTGTTCTCATCGTCCATAAAGACCAGTTTTCCCCCCATAGCTCTTAATCTACATGAGAAGTACCCTTCCATGTAGAACTTCTCTTGTAGATTGGGGACAATCTCCACTAAGTGAGCAACTCCCACATAGCTTCCATGCAGCCACTGAAACTCTTCTTCTTTCATATTAAACTCCAGTCCCGACCACTCCTCTCCTCTGTTTTTCTATTTCCATACTTGTCCGCTCTTCGGCTGCTTCTGATTTTCATGGGCTCTGCTTTTTTCTTCTTCATACTTCAAGGGGCTCGCAGGTATCTTCTCTTCGATTTTCCCGGATCCACGACCTTCTTGTCCTCGTACAGCATCAGCATATGATTTCCCATGAACAATTTCTTTTGATGGGATGATTCTCCTTACTGTCTCCCCTTTATCTTTCTCCTCTGGGTATTTGGTTAGATTTACCCATAATTTATGCCCCTCAACCTTTATTTGATCAAGCTGTTTCTTAAGTTCCTTGGTATTCCTTACATTAAGGAACCTAACAAAACCGAACCTCCTTCCGTTCTTGCTTCTTCTCTGTGGACTATAAATATCAAATACCCTTCCAAACTTGCCAAACGTTCTCCACATTTCTGTGTAGCTCCAGTCCTCCAGCATATTTGTAAAAACGAAGGCTGTAGCTTGCTTATACTGCCCTCTGTCATACCCCCACTACCTGTACCTACTCCAATTCCCTCTTTTCCACTGTCTTCTGTCATACCCCCACTCTCTGTGCTCATTCCGATTCCCATTCCAGCTAAGTTGCCTTGTATCCACCCCCTTCCACTGTCGACCTCTCTCTTGGATTCTAATCTTCTCACTACCCAGTGCTAACCGTCGATGCCGCGCCTTGTGTCCAGTGCCTGAATCCCATTCTCTCGCTCTACCACTCTCTCTCATTGTCTTCACCTTTTCCAACCCATATACAAATTTTGAATACTCTTATAGGTTGTTAGTTTAGTTTGAGGGGAGGTAAGAAGAGGGGAAGGAAGGGGAGGGAGAGAAGTTTCCCTATTTGAATAGCAAAAAATTGGAGAAGGGAGTTTAGGGGTTTTTCCTTAATTTACTCTAATTTTTTTTTTTTTTTTGTATTTTAATCAAACCAAACAAAGAAAGGAAAGGGGAGAAAAATAAAAGGATATAGTATAAACATGGTTAAACCCGAACTCCTCATACCAACCAATTGATTAGGAACATAACTTGAATTCATTGATAAAGAATTTAAACATTTTTTACCCTTATTTACCAAAAAACAATAACAATTAGGGACACCTGTTCTTATACCCTTAGATTCAACATGTTACCCTAAATACTCATTAAAAAATTGTTATTTTTTTATTAAAAATTAAAAGTAGATAAATTTAAAAATGCAGCTATGCCTACAATATGCATAATCAATTGAATTAACTATACTTTATTATCTTTTAATTATTGAATCAAATAGCTATAGGAATGCGTATTGAACTAAATGATGTACCAATCATCTATTGTAATTATAATATAAACCATTTGACCGATTGTCTTAATGAGCCAACTGTACACTATAACACAAAAAATAACAGAAGAACAATACATTAGAATTAGAATAATTGCCCTAACAACAATATAGGCGAAACCCTAACTCCGTGCACCTAACCTTTCTAGACCTCCATAAACCGAACAATCAAAGAATGTACCAAACTTCAACCATTCGCAAAATAGCGGGATCACATCCTCACAAGTCACTACCAACTTTTAATTTGAAGCTGATATCATTTTCTAACTCCTCAACCAGTCCAAATTAACTACAGTAAAATTTAGTTTTTTTTTAAAAATATATATATTAGTGCTTTTTCTTGAGAAAAAAATAAAAAGAGAGAAGAATTTTGTGGAAAAGGGAGTTTTACATACATTTGAAAATAGTAGCACAATCCATGTGAAACCCAAACTTCTTGTACCTAACAATTGATTTGGGCATGCACAACAGTGAACAATAAAAAAACCTCACTTTAGTGTTATATAATCACAATTTATATTATTTTATATAAGTTAATATATATATTTTATTTTAAATTGTACAATGGGAAGCAATCCCCTCCTATTTATGTTATACAACTTGACCTCAATATCTCTTGTCTTCAACAGAAGAAAATTACCATTAAATTATATAAGTAAATAAAACATTGATAAAATCAATTCTCCTCAGATGTTTTGAATTTTTTTTTAAAATTGACACTAATATTTTTTTATCCAATACACATTTTTAACCCTCACCGCCTAAATCAAAATAATAATTATAATATGAACCGGTTGACCAATTTTGTTAACGGGCCAAATGTACTATAACACAATACTTAATAGAAAAACAATAAATTAGAATTAGAATAATTCCCATAAAAACAATATATGTGAAACCCCAACTCCATGTACCTAACTTTTCTAGACCTCCACAAACAGAACAATCAGATTATACATATACCAAACTTCAATCCATTCATAAAGCAGGGAGATAACATCTACAAGTAATTCATAAGGAAGACCACAAAGTTAGTTCCAACAAATTTCCTCACCAGTCACTACCAACTTTTGATTTGAAGCAAATATAGTTTCGTTTATACAAAATTTAGTACACTTAACTACATGTCAATAAATAGAATAATATAATAACATATTATGAATAGATACATATATGAAAAGAGTTGATAATTTAAATTAAGACACATCAAAATTCACAAAGTTTTGTGGCACTCTAACACTATTATTTATTCAAGAACCAAGTCAACTCTTATAGTTTGTTCGTTTAGTTTGAGGGAGGTGAGAAGAGGGTAAGAAAGGGGGGAGGGAAGTTTCCCTATTTGAATAGCAAAAAATTGGAGGAGAGGGGAGGTAAGGAGTTTTTCCTTAATTTATTTTTTTTTTATTTTTTATTTTTTGTATTTTAATCAAACCAAACAAAGAAAGGAGTGGGGAGAAAAATAAAAAGATATAGCACAAACCATGTTAAACCTGAGCTCCTCATACCAAACAATTGATTAGGCACGTAACTTGAATTCATTGATAAAGAATTTAACTATTTTTTAACGTCACTCACCAAAAAACAATAACAACTATAGACATTGGTTGTTATATAAACCTTTAGATTCAACATAATACCCAAAATACTTATTAAAAAATTGTTATATTTTATCTAAAATTAAAAATAAACAAATTTAAAAATACAATTATGCATGTGCATGTAAAACCAATTGAATTATCTATAATATATATTATATTTTAATTATTGAACCAAATAGGTGTAGGAATGTGTGTTGAACTAAATAATATACAAATCATTTTTCATAACTATAATATGAACCATTTGACCGATTGTCTTAACTGGCCAAATATACACTACAACACAACAAATAACAGAAGAACAACGCATTAGAATTAGAATAATTGCCGTAACAACAATATAGGTAAAACACTAACTCCGTTCACCCAACCTTTCTAGACCTCCAGAAACAGAATAATCGAAGGATGTGCCAAACCTCAACCATTCACAAAATAGCGGCATCACATCCTCACTAGTCACTACCAACTTTTAATTTGAAGCAAATATCATTTTCTAACTCCCCAACCAGTCCAAATTAACTACAGTAAAATTTCGTTTTTATTAAAATATTAGTGCTTATTTATTTTATTTTTTTGGGAAAAAAAAAAGGAGAGGAATCTCGTGGTAAAGGGAGTTCTACATACATTTGGAATTAGTAGCACAATCCATGTCAAACCCAAACTTCTTGTACCTAACAATTGATTTGGGCACATGCGCAACAAAGAACACTAAAAAAAACCTCACTTTAGTGTTATATAATCACAATTCATATTATTTTATATAAATTAATATATATATTATTTTAGATTGTACAATGGGAAGCAATTCTCTCCAATTCATGTTATACAACTTAAACTCGAGATCTCTTATTTTTAATAAAAAAAGATTATCTCTAAATTATTTATGTAAATAAAACATCAATAAAATCACTTCATCTCATATGTTTTGAATTTTTTTTTAAAAATTTATAATAATATTATTTTATTCAATATACATTTTTAACCCTTATTGTCTGAATCAAAATAATAATCATAATATGAACCCGTTGACCAATTGTGTTAATGGGCCAAATATACTATAACCAATTGTGTTAACAGATTAGAATTTGAATAATTCTCTTGAAAACAATATAGGTGAAACCCCAACTCCATGTACCTAACTTTTCCAGACCTCCACAAACAGAACAATCAGAGTACATATATACCAAACTTCAACCCATTGATAAAGTAGGGAGACCACATCTACCAGTAATCCATAAGCAAGACCGCAAAGTTACCACAGCTCCAACAATTTTTCCTCACCAGTCACTACCAACTTTTGATTTGAAGCAAATATAGTTTTGCTTATACAAAATTGAGTACACTTAATTACATGTCAATAAATAGAATAATATAATAACACATAATGAATAGATACATATATGAAAACAGTTGATAATTTAAAGACACATTGTAATTATAAATTTACAAAATTTTATGGTACTGTAACTAGATTATTTTTACATTATTTTTTCAAGAGCCGTGTCAACTCTTATATTTTGTTAGTTTAGTTTGAGCGGAGATGACTAGGGGAAGGAAGGGAAGGAGAGAAGTTTCCCTTTTTGAATAGCAAAAAATTGGAGAGGCAGGGAAAGGGCTTTTCCGTAATTTACTCTAATTTATTTGTATTTTAATCAACCCAAACAAAAGAAAGGAGTGAGGAGGAAAACAAAAAGATATAGTACGAACCATGTTAAACCTGAACTTCTCATACCAAACAATTGATTAGGAACGTAACTTGAATTCATTGATAAAGAATTTATACCTTTTTTTACCTCTATTTACCAAATCACAATAATAATTATATAGACACTAGTTGTTATACTTTTTGATTCAATATATTATATAAAATATTTATTAAAAAATTATTATTTTTTTATCTAAAATTAAAAATAGATAAATTTAAAATATAATTATGCATACAACATACAAAACCACCTAAATTGGCTATATTTTTTTATATGTTAATTATCTAACCAAATGGGTGTAACGCTTTCATGGTTGAATTTTTATGAATGTGTCAAGGGTAGAATTTTAAATTTTTATTCTACAGGTGCGGTCTTTAACCCTCATTGGCTCAACTTAAAAGAATTAATCTGATTGCAAATTTGCAATCTCGCTTCATTTTCTCTTCTTTCTATTTTTAGGGATTTAATCATTTTTTGTTTAATTTTTTTAAAAGAAAAATTAGGGTTGTTGTGCTTTATATCTAAAATTAAGAGTTGACCCATTGTTATAACTCAAATTTTAGTATAATTTTATTTTATTTTTATTTTTATTTTAACTAATATGTTTTGTCTTTGTTTTATTTGTTAGGTTCATAAAAAAATGGGGGGCAAAAAGGAAATTTTGCGAAGAAGATTGGAAAGGAAGATGAGAGAAAGGACTCAATTGAAGAAATGAAAAGTTGGAGGGGTGAAATACAAAGTTAAACCCAAAACCCAAAATTCAAACCCAAAACTTAAACTCAAACCCAATTACCCAAAAACCCAAAACCCAAAATCCATTGGTTAAATGCTAAATTTGGTCCCTCAACAATTTTTTGCACTTTTTTGATCCTTCAACTATACGAAATGCACTCCGTTAGTCCTTCTGTTAATTTCGATCGTTAACTCGCTTATGTGGTATTTTTTTATAATTTTTTTGATGACGTGGTAAGAACAAATTGAAAACATGTTGATGTGGAATTTTTTTTTCATGCCAACTCACATTATTACTATTTATATTTTAAAAAAATAAAATCAAAAAAATCCGTTCATCTTCTTCCTTTCTCTTTTCCTTTTTTTTTTCTTCCTCTTCTTTCTTCCTCGAGTCATTGCCCTCTGCTGGGTTCGG